CCTTAAGCGTCTTTGGATGCCAGTGAGGGAGGGGAAGAGCCCCTGAAAACACAGTATGCCAATCCCATTGCCTCTGCTTGGATGCTTCTCAGAATGGGGAGTTCACTGCTTTACCGTGGCAGCTTATTTTCTCTTAAGCAACATGGTTGTGCAAAGTCTGCAGAATCAGCTATTAAGGCTGCTCCTTCTCCCAAGGAGGAAATGAGGGTCCAAAAGTGTCAAGGCGTGTATTCAAAGCCACGCCAGGTACCCAGTGATGGACGCAGGACCGGAGCCCAGGGCCCTGATACCCGGAAAGTACTCCTTCCACCCCTTTGCTGTAGAGTTTTAGACAAGGGAGGGATCTCTGCTGGCTGAGAGGTCAGGGAAGGCTTCTCAGAGGTGGTGACATTTGAGATGTGTCTTGTACGATGGCATAAGGATGTGGCTTGATGTCCTGATTCTTTTGGCCCTGCCCACCATGGGTGTCTCCTTCCTGTGCTCATACTGAGCATGGCAACAGAGAACATGAATTTGTTGGATGGACAGACGGATAGATGGACAGACAGGAAAACCACTCCCACAGGTGAACGGGCGGTGGTGGAGGTCCCTTCAGAGGTTAGAGCACCTTCTAAGGAATCTTAATCTTAAGATTAAGATCCCAAATATTTTTGTGCCCGAGGATTGTTTTTCTCTGCAGCTGGCTCAGAGTCTCCGTTTATTGTGTCTTCCTCCCCCTGTTTTGTCAACCAGGCTGGTGACAAAGGTCATAGCACACACTTGCATCTGGCAAAGGAGCTGGGCCAACAGCCAGCTTGGCGGAGGCCCCTGGCCAGCTGCCCTCTCCTCCCACCCCATCAGGGCCAGTGCCCCCCAGGCCCCCCAGCCCCCCCACCGGCCACCAGAACCTCCAAGGAGCTGGAGTGCCTGTGGCAGGCGCCCCCCAAGCCTGAGCGTCCGGAGCCATCTGTCTTCTGGAAAACACACTCCCTCTGGACCCGTGGTTTTGGCTTTTGCTCTCTTGCAAGAATTTCTATTCCTTCCTGTTATAAATTATTCATATGCTCAGGACCGAAACCCTGGAACATATGGAGGAGTGGGGAGAGGACATCTTTCTAATCTGTCCGAGGCAGCTGCTCTGGAGGGGCTAGCGAATGCCCCACTGCGCCCTGGCATGGGCCGGGCCCTGGGGTCTGGGTTTCGACCATGTCAACAGTCAGACGATATTGGCAGGCAGACAGCTCTGTCTCCCGCACGGGATGGGGACGGCTATGCAACGCTAAGAAATAGGAGGCCTGGGTACACCAGGACCTGCTAGGTTCAAGTTTGAGCTCTGCCACTAACCGGCCATGTGTACAGGGAGAATGCCCATAGAATCTGGACCTCCACGATGTGCCCACTTGTGTAACTTCTGACACAACGGTGTTCAAAAGCCTCTCCCACGCTGCCACACCGGGATCCTGTCGGGTTAACCCAGGAATGGTTTGGGGGTGGGCCTGGTACAAGAATCCCCCACTTCGATTAAGACAGCCCTTGAGCTCTGTCCCCAGCAACTCCAGACCCACGAGAGTCTCCACACGCCCAGTCACCTGTGACCTGGGCCAGACTTCTAGACATCTCCTCCCACAGGGGACAGGCAAGGCCTCTCTCTTCTTGCAGACTGGCATTTACTCACTGTGGGGCTATAGAGACATCTCATCACCTCTCTGGGCCTCAGTTTCCCCCCCTGGAAAAGAGACAGCAGGGGTAGGTTAAACATGTTCTTTTAAAGCCGAGCTCTTTCCTCCAATTAACTCGTGTGCAGAAACCCGACATCGAGCAGAGAGGCCGGAGAGCCGACCTGCAGGGAGGATTCAAAGCGGGTCGCAGTTGTTACCGTGAGGCCTCACAGCGCCCCCCGGGGTGCGGGGCTGTGGGGGTGTGGCAGCATCCCCACGTGACAGGTGCAGAGACCGAGGCCCTGTGGGGTCATCCTCCTGGCCGACGCTATGCCCGTCGGTGCTGGAGCTCGGGTTCCCACCTGGTCAGGTCTCAGTCATGAGACAGCGGGTCTCTGTGGCCCTGACCCCTGGGGGACGTCTCTGGGCAGTCAGCCCCTGCTCTCCCACAGTCACACATGAACACACACACTCACACTCTCACACTGTGAATGTTCCACCGCGGGCTGCCTGCCAAACTCGGCCCAACCCCCAAACTGAGGGTGGCTGCTGAGACTGGGAGACTGAGGTCTCCAGCCCAGGAAACCCGCATCACCAAAGCGCCCAGTGACCAAGGCCCAGGGGCTCCCCGCTTCCCAGCCCCGTGGGCATCCCCCCACCGCTCCCACTCGGCCAGCTGAGCCCTAGTCTGCACTGAGCTTCTTCCCTGGAGGGATGAAGTCACAGCGCCCCCTTCAGGCCTGGGACAGCCAGGCCTGCAAACCCACCCAATCCCTCAACTATTCTGTGGGGCTGCCCTTCCCTGGGCAGAAGGTGGTCCGGTGCGAAAGAAATGGCCTGGAGTTTGGGCCTGGGCAGGTGTGCATTTGAATCCTGGCCCTGCGTCTGGCTAACCGTGTGAGCTTGAAGCACGTCGGCTTCATTTGCTAAGCCTCCGCCCTCTTACCTGCAACATGGGAACGACATGCATCAGCCACGCGGTGCGGGCTGGACGGTGTAACAGCTGCCGCACCCAGAGCACATCCTCCCATTTCCCTTTGCCTCCACCCCTCCGATGTGTCTGCTGGGGACAAAAAGAGAGATAAGGCTTACCCTGCCCTCTACCAGTCAGTCAACAATCATTTATTGAGCACCTACTAGGTGTCAGGCACTCGACAGGGAAAGGAAGGAGCAACACAAGCAACTCTAATAGATGTGCCCTAAATAAATGATGATGAGGAGGAGGAGGGGGACAGGAGGGGAAGGCCTCCGTTGCCTGCAGCAGTTCCACGGGAGAAAAAAGCCCAGCAGGAGCTGCGTGGTAAGAGGTGTGTGTACGAGGAGGAAGGTGATGGTAGGGCTGGCTCGGCAAGTCCGAAATCTGAACTCTGTCAGAAAGGCCATTCAGGAGGGGCAGGCCAGAGCCCTCCAGTGTGAACGGACACAATTCTTCCGGGAAACCAGGGCTCTGCTCTCAAGAACTGTTGGCTGACTGCACCAGGCCCACCTGGACAACTGAGGCTGCGCTGCCTCACTTACAGCAACTGACTATGAACTTGAATCACATCTACAAAATGCCTCCGCAGCAGCAGCTGGTTCCATGTTAGATGAGCGGGTGGGAGGGTGCAGCCCAGCCCAGCTGGTGTGTGAAAACCGCCGGCTGTCCCTGTTGTGGGGCCCCTAGGGGAGGCCCCCTGGAAAGGCTCATCATTGAGCTGGTCTCAATTTCAGCGGCAGGAGTGGGGAAGGGCCCCTTGGGCAGAGGGCAGAGCCCCGGCCAAGGCAGGGGCGGTGGGATGTAGACAATGGGGGGAGGGGCACTGGGCAGCGTGGCGGGCCCACTGCGGGAAGGTGCTCCATACGGAGGGACTGGAGTAAAGGGATGGCTTCGTGAACAGCACACACACACAGCACCGTTCATAAAGATGCCATATGACAACCACGAAATGACACGGAACGCGCCGTGTCAGCCCACATGAAACTGCAGGAGCAGAAAGGCTGGCTGGTGTGTTTGGAAAGCGGCTGTGTTTAACGTCAGCACTGGGAGAGGTTAGCATTTCTCCACGTTCTTTACTGTAGTTACGTTACCTTCGAAAACAAAAGGCGAGATGTTGCTTTTTCTTTAAGGGGAAAGAGTAGAGTCAGGATGTCAACTAAAATTGCTCATTTATTAAAACGACAAAACCCAAAGCCCTGACAAGAAGCAAAACGTGCTGAACAGGATAAAGACGACAGGAGCCTCGGGGTACCTGAGGGCGGGCAGGCAGGCGGGGGGAGTCAGGGAGGCTGCTCTCTGACCCCAGCGGGAGAGGGGGGAAGCAGTGCCGGTGAGGGACTCAGCTCTTCAGGGCTCCCCCACTCCCCATGTAATGTTTCCAAAACATTCCAGGCTTGTCAAGAGTCCAAAGGCTGGCAGGGCCCCCACGCGCGTCTGGGGGTGAACGGGATCCTCTGACTCACCGCTCACCGGGAGTTCCTGGAACGGAGCTTCCCTTCCCAGAACACCCTCCTCGCCCCCAGACAGCTCCGGTCTTTCTTTAGGGAGGAGGGGAAGGGCCCTTGGAAATGGCAGGCCAAGGGCCGCACTTCTCCGTGCGGTCGAGGCTGACGCAGTGCAGAGACCCCGTCCCTCCCCCCACCCCGGTGTTTGCGGTGGCCTGCCGTCGGCCTTTGCGACCATCTGTAAAGAGTGTCCTGACTCAAGCCCATGCTGATCAGATCACAGAGGGAAACATTTACTCTGGGGAGATGCTGGGAAAGGGTCGGGCTATGATTCAGGAGACCTCGGTGCTTTCTGGCTCTGGCCTTGACTCCGGCTTGCTGGGTGGTCCGAGAGGCTGGGGTGCGCAACGCCGCCGGAGGGTGGACAGACAAATGCGGCAGGGTGCCCCTCTGAGGAGCCTGAATACAGCGGGGCAGATGGACACACTCACCCAGCCACACATGTCCCTGGGTGACGGGGCTGCGCACTGCACAAGGGCCACGCCCGCCCTGGGCCCGGGAATAGGACTGGGTGTTCGCAGGGGCACACCCTTCTCTCTGCCCGGCCGGGGAGATGCTGCCCGAAAACCTCAGCTGAGTGTGTGAGTGGGTGGCCAGGCCAGGTGGAAGGGACTCCCCCTGAACCTCACACCCCAGGTGTGGCCGAAGTGGGCGGGTCGTCCTGGGTGGGGCTGGAAGAACAGCGCCTGTGCTGGGACACGGTCACCACGTGCTTGATGCGTTTGATTCAGGCTGACCATCTGTGCCTCACAGCGGCCGGCAGAGGCGGGGGCGGCCTTCCTAGGAGCTGGACGGAGGGGGTCCCACTCCCCGGTCTGGCTGCTGCCTGTGGGCCAGCTGGGGGTCTGAGGGCCACATTTCCCACACTCTGCCCTTCCACAGGTGCAGTCACTGCTATCTCCGTGTCAGCTCCACAACTGTTTCTCCAGTCCTGACAGAGGTTTGAGCTATAACATCGCACCCCGACGTAAGTGGAAAATGAGCATCATTTGTCATTTAAAAAACATCTGCAAGAAACGAATGCAATGGACTCTTCTATTTAGCATTGACTATAAACAAAGCGATGAAGTCTGGCTGGACCTGGGGTCCAGCCCAGACAGGGGCCTGCTCTCATTGCCTGGAAATGACAAATACCAACAGGGTGTTGGGGACACGTGAGCCACCCCACACAGCTCAGCAGTGTCACCAAAGGAGCAACCACACGGGGGTACACTTACCATCCAGTGCTCAGCGCCCCACTTCCCCCAAACAGCCACCAAGCGCTGGGCTGGACGGGCTCCAGCGCCGGGTGCCGCAGACGAGGCAAAGCTCTGCCCTCGAGAAGGGGCTGCTGCATGTTCTGTGGTGGCCATGGCCTCCCAGCCCCTCAGTCACAGATTCTTTGGAAACCAGGACAAACTCCCTCCCAGGCTGAAGGGGAATTTTCTCCTGACAGCTCCGAGACCCAATGTTTATATGAGTCAATGAAAGGATGTATTTTAAAAGAAAGTCTTCTTGGACAGAATTCCGAGGGAGATAGTGTACGAGTGAATCAGAACCCTGGATGTCCCTTCCAAAGCAGAGGTTTGGAAAAGGGGGAAAACACCAGCTCAGAGTCTCCTCCTCCCGTCCCCACCCCAGTGTGAAGATCAGAGTCTTGGGGGGACAGGGGTCTGTGGCCCTGGCTGGTGGATGAGGAAAACCAGGCGCCCAGAGGAACGGAAGGGACAGACTCAAGACCACACACACAGGGGTGCGCTCCTGGCCACTACCGCCACCCCTGGGCCAATGTGCCTGCTCCCGCGAAGTCCTTCGAATAATTCTCTGACATCTGATTTTATAAGCCCGGGGTATTCTCATCAGGGTCCCAGAAGGAAACAGGGGGCACATCCAAACTGGGTCATACGAAGAGAATGGTAATGGGGGTTCTGTTTGCAGGGCAGAGCAAAGTCTGCCCCCGGTCCCCCCTCCCCTCCCTCCCCACTTGGGGCCTGAGCTAGCAAGAGGACAGCCGGCCAGCCCTGGGGGCTCGGAGGGAGGGAGCTGAGTGGCAGAATCCCCTCCTCCCTCTCTCCCCCTCCCTCAGCCTCCTGCTGGAGGCCCCACTAGCAAAACCCCATGGGGTACCAGATGGCAGAGAGCCCACCTGTGGTGGCCCTGAAGGGGGACTGCAGGGCGAGTGACCTGGAGTGAGGCAAGGTCCTGCCCCAGCGCACAGCAGGTCTCCAGAGCAGGAACAGAGAAACAACTAGAATAACCCCGGACTCCCACTTCTCCAGAACTTCAACCCCCTGGTCTCCGGACATCTGGAGAGCTGAAAGCCCTCGGCTTTGTTTTGCTGGTGGGAGCAATGTTTACAGCCTTTGGCAAGCAATTAAGGTCCTGCCGGGCTGATTCAGCCAGATCTGGGGACACCCAGCCAGGTAGACCCAGGCAGGAAACACTGGGCTCCTGGCCAGGTGACCGAGCTTGGAGGCCCTGAAGTACCTGGACAGCTGTCACTGGCTGAGAAAGCTTGTCTCCTCTCTTTGCCACTGAATCTCAGCACCCAGAAAACACTCAGTAATTGTTGCTGAGAAACGCCTCATTGGAGCACATGACCCCCGTCGAATTTTCTTTCAGGGGGAAGGCAGGGCTTCCTTCCCTCCCCTGGAGCCCCCCTCCTTGAAGGAGCAGAAGAGCTTTGTGGCTCATCGCTTCCCCGGCAGGTTGCACATTTTGGCCTCGGCTCTGTCTGAGGGCTTCCATAAACCTTCGATTCATGGAACAGGTTCCCTTCGTTTCCTGCCTACCAACTGGGGCTTTTCTTTTCCTCGCGTGTTCAAGCTTCCCGAGCATGTTTCCATGGCCTTATCGCCACCTCCCACAGCTGAGTGAGGACAGGCGGGCTTGGAAGCCCAGCGTTGTGTTTACAGACGCCCCCAGCTGAGGGGTAGCGGGAGGCAGGGGCAGGCAAATCAGGACTCCACCCGTGTACCCACACACCCATGCACCTGGGTTTTCACGCCACCCCAGCCAGGAGCAAGAGGGCCCGTGGGGTCCTGGAGAGAGCTCCAGGTCTGGCAGCAGAAGCGGGTGAAGCCCCACCGCCAGGTGTGCTGGCAGCGACTCTGGGACAAGTCACCACACCTCCTCGCTTCTCATCTCCTCTGACCTCCCTGGTGGGGGTGCGGGAAACGTGAGGCGGAGCAGAGACAGACTTGGTCCCTGAACGCCCCGCAGGACCTGGGACTGGACCTGGGACTGGACCTGGTACGCAGGCGAGGGCCCAGCTCAGACCTGAGAGTGCACAGCAGCAGTAACCACAGTGGCTGCAGAGGCTCATCCGTCCTGTCCCCCTCATTAGGCTGTAAGCTCCGAGAGGTCCTGTCTCTAGTTCCTCTCCCTCACCTCACAGCCAGCCTGTTCTGAAGCCCAGGCCCCTCCTCCACCGAGCTGCATGCCCATGCTGGGCCCCATGGCTACTCACACCGACACCTGCAAGTCACCAAAGCACCTCGGACTTAACAGAGTCAAGCCTCAGCACGAGATCCTGTTTCTCCTAGTCAGCCCTCCCCCTTCTTTCCTTCACGGGAGAGGGCAGCACTCCCTTCATGGGAGGGGAGAGGGGTGGGGTGACCTGGGCATGTCCTCCCACTCATCCCAGCCCCTCCATTTCGGCCTTGCCCCAGGCATGCAGTTTTAGGCTCTGAACACCTCTGGGATGCATGCCCCTTGGGCTCCATCACCCTGTGCCTAGACTAACACTGGGGCTCCATCACCCTGTGCCTAGACTAACACTGGGGCTCCGTCATCCTGTGCCTGGACTAACACTTGGGCTCCATCATCCTGTGCCTGGACTAACACTCGGGCTCTGTCATCCTGTGCCTTGACTAATGTGCAGCACCTGCTAACAGGCCTCCCTACTTCCACTCTGCTCCCCTCCGTCTCCCCACCCACCACAATCCTGGCTCCCCCAGCAGACACCAGAGCCTGACACACACTTGCCTCCAGCTTCTCCCTGCCTCAGGGCCCTTGCTCCTGCAGCTCCTTCCACCCAGGCGTCTTCCTCTCCACTGCCCTCCTTTGCCCAGTCTGCTCCCACTCACCCTCGGGTCTCATAATGAACACCCACAAGTCCCCTGCCCCGGGCTGTACCAGGACCCCATGCTATGCGCTGTCACGGGACTCTTCATCTTATTTCACTGATACCAGTTGTCAGTCATTCCCTGACTGTCTGAGTAATGTCTGGCTTCCCCGCTGAACCCGGAGCTCCTGGCAGGCAGACGCCGGGCCGGTCCTCAGCATTGAGTCCCTGGCACAGGGCAGAGCTCTGGAGCGAAGGACTCCACCGGCCTTGCCTGGTGGGGAGGACGTGTTTAGGGGTCCCAGGCTGCCTTCTAACCATCTTTCCTCTTCCAGCACAGGTGAGGCCCCACTCACAGCCACTCCGCGTCCAAATGTTGTCTGTCTGGAAGAGACCGACATTCCTGTCTGTTTATGAAGAGCTGGTGCCCACCACGGTCTCCTTTGGGTGAGTCGGAGAGAGTCCTGCACTGACTTTTGCTGGTGGAGGCGGGCCCCCAACCCGGAGGATGCGCGGGGGAGGGGACCCTCATCTCCCGGACAACAGTCGAGGCCGCGGCAGTGTTAAATCCGAAGACGATACCTCTCGAGGCCTGGCTCAGCCAGTGTTCAAACCCCCGTAGGCCCGTGGGGCAGAGGCAGCTCTGTGGGCTTTGGGGAAGGGGCTGCAGGGAGAGGACACATTACTGGCGGTCACAGGTGCCCTATCCTGGATGACCTTGGACATGAAGGCAGTGCAACTCTGAGGCCAACACCCAGAGAGATGTGCCAGGTCACCATGGAGACAGGTTGACCTCAGAACGTGGCTGATGTCTTGTGGGAGGCTGGACACTCTAAAGAGAGAATGTGGGGGATCGTATCCTGAGGAGAAATAGGAAAAAGGGAGGGTCAGCCCCGAGTGGGGGCAGTGTTGCCAAGACACAGGGGAGAGGGGCTCAGCCTGGCCTCTGGGTCCCGTGGCAGGTGTGGCCTACAAGGAAAATCACCAGATGGCCTCAGCTGGGGCCACAGAGCTCAGGCCTGCAGCTAACTCCCAGTCACACCCTCCTCGGGCCACCTTCGGGCCCTCCCAGGGCATCTCAGAGCCAGCTCTGGGCCAGGCGCCCCCTGTTGGCGAGGGACTGTTGGTGAGGCTCCAGTCTCTAGGGAGCCTGACCCTGAGAGACCAGCCCGGGCCTGCAGCGCCGAGGACACAGGAGGTGTCTGTGGCTACGGAAACTGGGCCCAGGGCTGAGCCACGGGGACCGTCAGGGGCGGCCTCGCCAAACCTGCCAGTTTGCGCAGGTCAGGAACCAAGGGCTGGGTGGGGGGACAGCTTGTCCCTGCCCTGTGACGTCTCGGGCCTCAGCTGGAGCCACAAGGCTGTGAGTGTCCTCACAACGTGGTGCCCGGCGTCCCCAGAGTGAGCGGCCCAAGAGTCCGAGCAGGACCCTGCACTGCATTCTGTGACCTCATCTCCAATGTCTCGCACTGTCCCTGCCTCTGCCACCCTGGCCGGGAAGCAAGTCACCAAGTTCAGGGAAAGAGGAATTAGACTCCATTCTCGGAAGGGAGGCGTCACCACACATGTTGAGCACATTGAAGCCGCCAGAAGGCTCTTTCCAGAGCGCGTTTTCTGTCCCACCCCTTGCTTCTTGAAGCCCTCGGGGGCGGCACCTCGCTTCCTTAGCCCCCAGTGACGGCTGTCTTATTCCCATTGTCAGCTCCATCTCTGGCCCCTTCCCGCCTCAAACATCTAGTCCGCCCTCCAAAGCACGTCTGTGGCCTCCCGGCTGGTGCGCCTCTGCTGGCCTGTCCTCTGTCCTTGGCTCCTCATCCTTCCAGACCCAGCTCCAGAGGCACTTCCCACCTTCCCCCGTCCCCCAGCCCCTCGTCCTGTCCCTCATCACAGGGTGACGGGCAGGACTGGGGACACTGGTATTCCCCCCTGGGTCCCTACAGCCAGGGTGGGGCTTGGCACAGAGGACACCCGACTGGTTGGAAGGATAAATGCACTGACAAATGTTCAACCACAAGTCTCTGGTCCGGCCCCTCACAGCTGGGCAGCTGCTCCAGGAACCACAGGGGCTTTTCCTGGGAAATCCCAGGGGCAAACAGCAAGCTCTTCCCAGGATCTGTTGCTCAATTCCTCCTGCTGAGCCTGCGCAACAACCACAGCCCAGGAAAAGCCCCTCTACCTCCACCTGCCCTCCCCCACCCCAGGGGCACCAGGGAAATGGCTACTAGTCTGGCCCTCTGGGCTGTTTTCAGCTTTTCAATGTCTTCATGCCCGCTCTTCCATTCGAATCTCGCAACAGCCGTGCAAAACAAAGAAAATAGAATGGAAGCTCGGAAAGGTCAAACGATTTGCCAAACCGCACAACTGGGTCTGGAACCCACTGTGGTTTAAGCAAACCCAGAGTTTCCCTGAAAGTGGAAGTGAATCAGGCTCGACAGCAATGCTTCTGGGCAGCAGGCTGCCCTGTGGGCTGAGTCTCACCTCAGAGTGAGACAGGAGCCACCGTGGTGGAGGTGAAATCATCAGTTCAGACGGGACCCTGCAAACAGTGGCGCTGGCACTGGCTGTTTCAACAGTTTCACAAACGAGATAACTAGCTTAGCTCCCCAGTGCAACCCAGCGTGGTAGGTTTTATTATTCCTGTGTTACAAGGTAGGTCGTTGAGGTTCGGAAAGGTTAATTAACTTACCCAAGGTCACACAGCTAATAGATGAGCCAGGATTTGAACCTAGAGCGATGGTCTGGCTCCTGAACCCCTGCCCTCCCTCTGTATTCCGTAACCTCTGATCACTATGAACGGTTGCCCAGAGAGGGTACAACAGTACGGCGCTGCCCTCTGCCAGCAGGAGAAAGGCCTGGGCAGATGGGCCATGGTCTCAGAGCCGAGCGGAATCTCCCTGTCTGGCATGATATCATTTTCCCGTTCTCATAAATTAATCCCGCTCACCTATGGCCAGGCCAGGAGAGGCTAAAAGGATGCCAGCTCCTTCTGGAAGGGCCCACACGATAAGGAAGGAATGTGTGCCACCCATCGTCCCTTCCTGGAAGCTTCAAGGACTCATGATTGTTAGCCCTGGCAGTGGGTGCTGGCGGTGGGTGCTGGCCAGGGAAACATCCCAGTGGAGCCGAGAGCTGAGGAGCAGGGGCTGTCCCTTTAGTCCCAAAGAACAGAGATGCCTCCCCGCAGCCCAGGGAGTCAGATGAACCTGAGCTGCCTCTCTGAGTGCAGCGGCCATAGAAAGGGCCCTAGGTTCCCCCCGCCGACCTCACCTCCTGGAAGCTGTTCTCCGAGTGCCTCTCTCCTTCCACACCAGTTGTCTTTCCTTCCTCTAAGACCTCGAGGTGTAACGGTCCCCTTTCCACTTTCTTTCAGCGCCGAAATGCTCAACATCACCTCGGAAGTCCTTCAGCCTGCTCTCAACGGGACCCATGTTGAGAGCAGTGGCTGTGTCTACTCCGATTGGTGGGGCTGGCTCAACACCATCCAGGCCCCCTTCCTCTGGGTCCTGTTCGTGCTGGCGGCGATCGAGAACATCTTTGTCCTCAGCGTCTTCTGCCTGCACAAGAACAGATGCACCGTGGCAGAGATCTACCTGGGCAACCTGGCTGTGGCCGACCTGATCTTGGCCTGTGGGCTGCCCTTCTGGGCCATTACCATTGCCAACAACTTTGACTGGCTCTTTGGGGAGGCCCTCTGCCGCGTGGTGAACACCATGGCCTACATGAACCTGTACAGCAGCATCTGCTTCCTGATGCTGGTGAGCATAGACCGGTACCTGGCCCTGGTGAAAACCATGTCCATGGGCCGGATGCGTGGCGTGCGCTGGGCCAAACTCTACAGCCTGGTGATCTGGGCGTGTGCGCTGCTCCTGAGTTCGCCCATGCTGGCCTTCCGGACCATGAAGGACTACAGAGACGAGGGCTACAACGTCACCGCCTGCGTCATCATCTACCCGTCGCGCACCTGGGAGGTGTTCACCAACATGCTCTTGAACGTCGTGGGCTTCCTGCTGCCCCTGAGCGTCATCACCTTCTGCACGGTGCAGATCATGCAGGTGCTTCGCAACAACGAGATGCAGAAGTTCAAGGAGATCCAGACGGAGAGGAAGGCCACGGTGCTGGTCCTGGCCGTGCTGCTGCTGTTCGTGGTCTGCTGGCTGCCCTTCCAGATCAGCACCTTCCTGGACACGCTGCTGCGCCTGGGCGTCCTCTCCAGCTGCTGGGAGGAGCACGTGGTCGACGTCTTCACCCAGATCGCCTCTTATGTGGCCTACAGCAACAGCTGCCTCAACCCGCTGGTGTACGCCATCGTGGGCAAGCACTTCCGCAAGAAGTCCCGGGAGGTGTACCAGCGCCTCTGCCGGACAGAGGGCTTCACGGCACAGCCCGTCATGACCGAGAGCTCCATGGGCACCATGCGGACCTCCATCTCGGTGGATCGGCAGATCCACAAACTGCCGGTGTGGGTGGGCAACAGCCAGTGAGCAGAGGTGACCGGGCCACTGTGGGTGTGTGTGAGGGTTTGTAGACAGTTGCTCCACAGGATGTGACTAATTGGGAACAGAGGTCACACCTCGTGTGACGGTGGGCAATGGGTCGGCGTCTGTGGTAAACCCAGGAGCACGATTCCTTCCCCGCCCGGGTTGCCCTGAGCACAGATGTGTGGATGGGGTGACCTCTCGAAGAGGCAAGGGCTCCGTCGGCATGACAGCATTATTCTTATTTGCTGCCACACCTGGGCCAGTCTGCTTCTTCCCAGGAGTGGACGGAACCTGAGAACAGGGACAGGAGTGCCCAAGCTTTCCTCCCACATGGTGTCCCCTAACCCCCCGCCTGCCCCAGCATGACAGCTCAGAACTCCAGGAGAACCACCCCCGGCTTTGGTGCGGTGCCGAGTGCGCGCACGGTGCCTGGCTGAGTTTTGCCTTGGGTCTCTTTAACCCGCTGGGCCAGGACTTTGGAGAATGATGTCTCAGGTGAATGAAGGTGAACCTCTGAGAGTCCCTGGTAAGAACCAGGAGGTCAGGATTCTGTCACTCCCACAGACAAGGGTATCTATGCCCAAGAAGGACCCAATAAGCACTAATCTAGCACCTGCTGTATACACAGCATTGAGCACTGAGGTCAAAGGCCAGAAAGAGAAAGCGCAGGCTCTGTCTTGGAGGAGCTTGCAAGCTGGAGTCGCCACAGCTGAGCACTCGTACCCAGGAAGTCTGTCCTGCAGCATGGTGGAGCCAATTCTGGGCACTATGTAGGGCAGAGGGGTGAGGTGCCTGACGCCCCAGGTCCTCCGACAGCTAGCCGCACGCCACCTTGTCCCTGCCTCGGTTTTCTCCTCTGTCACGTGAGGCTGTAAGGCTTAAAGAAGGGGACTGGCATGGTCGTACTTTGAAAAACCAGTGGTGCTGTGTAGATGTGAGGTGTTACACAGAACGGGGTCCTGGGGGGTAGAAGCTGGAGGACCAGGAGGCCTGGGCAGCAAAAAGCCCACAAATCCTGACCAATTCAGCTTCAGATTTTAAAGCAAGAAGGCTCCCAAATATTCCCTCCCCATTCAAGCCCCCCCAACCCCAGCCCCCTCCAGCCCTCTGCCCAATAATCACGTGTACCTGTAGCTGGAAAAAGAAAACGGGGAATAGGAAGGAGGGACCATACAGTGTTAGAAGGGAGCTAAACCACGCACGCGTTGGAAGCAGAAGGGAAAAGGCGCTTTGCAATGTGCGGCCCACACTCATTGGTGGGCGTGCATTGGTCTGAGGGTCTCCTGGGAGCAGGGCCGCCTCAGGGCCCTGGGCTCCCAATGGTCCCTGAGACCACACGTGGTCTAAGGAGCGGTGGTCATTCTGCAGGAGAGGAGCTGCCTGGGGGTGGTGCTGGCACCTCAGTGAAGAATCCCTGCCCCGGGAGCGCCCCAGAGAGCTGCCGCGTGTACGGCAGACGCACGGCACATGCACGGCACAGACGTTGGGAGACCGGCAGCCAGTGCAAACCACGTCCTTGCTGAGCAGCAGCATGAAGGAGGGTGTCTGTGCGGCTCTTCCTTTGGTGACGGCTCCCAGAGCCCCGCGCCTCCTCGGGACGCTGCAGGCCTGGGGCTTCCACTCATTTCTGCCGAACCTACTTCACGGCTCTGCCCTGAGGCTCAGTGGTGTCTGGGCCTCTGCGGTTGCGTGTCCTTCCGAGTAAAAGAATTTTACAGACATAGACCACCTATGTATACTTATTAACACGTATTACAACGCACACTCTGAAAGAGACTCAAGTAGAAGGTGAAGAAAATTAAATAGGACTTGAACACTTCCCCCATCCTACACTCCTCCACTGGCAACTCATCGCCAAGCTCCCACCAGGTGCCTGGGAGGCCCCGTGAGGCCCCGTGAGGCCCCAGAATCATCCAATGGTGGTGATTCCATCATTCACTCACACACGTAATATATGTTTATGGCGTGCTTTTCATTTGACCTCTCTGCCAAGTCAGCAGTGTCCTCTACAAGGTCCAGATTAAGACAGTTGTCTAACCACTACTTACATACTCCTAGTGACGGGGAACTCGCTATTTATTCACTCGGGGTCCCCTCCATTACCCATATATTCATCCATTCGCTCATTCATTAAACAAAACTTGCATTCTGTGTCTACAGAAATGGCACTGCCCATCTGCACATTGGTCCATCCATGCCAGAAAGCGGGGGCTCATCGAAGAATGCACCCACCCCTTCATGTCTTCCACCTAATGGATCGATCGGCAGCTCTTAGATTTCACCTGTGCCCTGAGTCACCTCCTTCCTCCACGTCCCCCCACCTTTGATGTTAGCCACCACTGCCTCCCCATGCTTGGTCCCTGCTCTTCGGCCAATGACGCCGTCAAAGGGCAAACCCGTGGCAGAGAGGCTTTCAGCAGTCGGTGTTCAGGGCTCAGGCTTCGTTATCGGACAGACCGAGCTGGAGACCAGAACGGATCCCAGTCCCGGTTCTGGCTCGGCCGCTTATTGCTCTGTGGTCTCAGGTATCTCACGCGTCCTCCCTGGGTCCACACTCACATCAGTGAAATGGGGGTGATCATGGCACCTACCTCAAGGAACTGCCAACAGAATCAGTGTGTGAAAGTGTTCGGTACAGTGCCTGGCACAGCTGGCATCCAGCGTGTGTGAGCTGTCGTGATGGCGATGACGATGGTGGTGACCGTGATGGTGATGATGACAGTGATGAGGAGGAAGGCGACAGCGAGAGTGACTATGGCGCCCTCGAACAGGAAACCCTTTACCAGTGTCCCACTCCTCTGGAGATGAAGTTCCACATCCCGCTCTGACCCGTGTGGCTCAGTGGGTGGCATCATTCCCTAAAGCGAAAGGTTGCCGGTTCAATTCCCAGTCAGGGCATGTGCCTGGGTTGCCGGCCTGGTTCCCAGCGGGGGCCCATACGGGAGGCAACGATCAATGTGCCTCTCACATCGATGTTTCCCTCCCTCTCTCTCTCTCTCCCTGCCTTCTTTTCTCTATAAAAATAAATAAAATCTTTTTTTTAAAAAAAGCTCTACATCCTTAACTCGGCTTGCGGGATCTGTCACGCACCAAGCCCTGCCTTGTGTCCCTCCCTCTCTCTGCTCCCTGGCTCATTCTCTGCCCTCCAGGCACGTGGGGCACGAAGGCCAGCACAGAGCCCGGCAGGGAGTCCAGGTCTCCCCTGGTGACCTCACTGTCCACCAGCCCACACCCAGCCCAGCGGCCTTGGGCGTGGCGGAAGCTGCTCACACGTGCCCCAAGGAGCTCGCTCATCCGAGGGACTCTGCTCACAGACAGGAGCACAGCTCAAGGGGGCCTGCAGCCCTGGGGAAGCCGCCTGGCTTGGCACCTGAGCTGGGCTCTCAGCAGGTGGAAACAGGCCAGGAGGCCCTCCCTGCAATCGCCCCCAACCATAGCCAGGCGGCATGTCCGGCCACCCAACCCCTGACCCTCCTCAGCCCTAGCAAGCTGGTGCAATGGGGAGCAGCCCAGGTGGGCCTCTGGTGGACTCAGACTCAGAAATGGGTCCAGCTCCCAAGTCTGCCCTGGCCGGAGCCGGTGAGGGCCTGGTGTAGAGGGACAGGCTGAATGCACGTGACCCGACAGGAGCTAGCAAATGATGATGGCTGCTGCCGATTTGCAAAGCCACTTGGGTGCAGTCTCTGTGGTTCGGGAGGTGAGGTCTCTGCTCATCACCCCAGCCATGTGCTTCATTATTTCCTTGTTGCTCAACCCCTGAGCCTTTCACACAGGCTCACACAGCTGTGACCTCTGGCCAACCCTGGGAGGATGTGGGTGTCAGGGGTGAGAGCTGGGAGGTCATGGTGTAGCAAGAGTCAGGGTTGAAAGGTTAATGCTTTGTGGCTTGGGCTGAGGTTAAAGGGGCCCCATCATCACGTCTCGCCCTTTGCTGGGTTCATTTAGACTTGACCCTCCCAACCACTGAGGTGGCAACTGAGGCCCAGAGACAGAAGCACCCAAGGCAGAAGGGTGCCCCGGCAGCTGGCCTGCTCTCTGTGAGTTTGTGCCTTAACAGAGGGACACAGATTCTGTCCCTGAGAAAGCCCTCGGTTGCCTTTGTACACGCAGAGCTTCTGGGCCTGGGCCCCAGCCGTTTCCATCCCGATAAACGGCCTTTGCGTCCTCTGGGCCTTGGGAGCACTCACTTCCTGCACAGCCCCCTCCCCACACCTGGGGGCTGGCACCTCCGCCGAGACGCCTTGTGCAGACTTGAGCCCCATGCCACGAAGCCCGCTCTCCCACGCAGGCTGTCCCCGTGCAGCCACCTCTGCTGTTGGTTCGGAACACCTTCACCCCCCACAGGGAAGCGCCTGGCCATCAGCAGCCACTTCTCAGTCCTCCCTCCCCACCGCCTCCTTCTGTCTCTAGATTGGCCTGTTCTGGACATTTCCTGTAGGTGGAATCATGCAATCTGGCTTCTTTCATCTAGCTTATATCGAGATATAATATTTAACAGCAGGGAAAACTCTGGAGGCCAGGACTTGAGTCCCTACCAAGACACTTACTCATTGTGTGACCCTGGCCAACCACATGACTCATTTCCACCCCCCATCCCTGGCCTTTGGCCTCAGTTTCCTCCTCTGTAAAGTGGGCAGAGTTCACCACAGGTGTGCCTAGCTCACCTGGGGCTCATGTCTGTGGAGAGGGGGCTGCATTAACTCTCAAGGGCAACACCAAGGTGCCGGGGCTGCCCTGGGCTGGGGCCAGGGTCCTGTTTTATATCCCAGCTCTGCCGCTGCCTGGCTGCGGGGATTTGGACAAGGTCAGTTAGCGTCTCTCAGCTCCAGGTGTTTTGCCTATAAAATGAGGACCCAGGTGTTATGAAGTAAAGTGAGATAGAGGTGTTCTCGTGGGTGGAATACTGTTCCCTCCCCCCACATCCACACCCACATGGGACCTCAGGATGTGGCCTTATTTGGGGACATAATTAAGATGCAGTCATACTGGATCGGGGTGGACCCTAAATTCAACGACCAGGCTCCTTATTGGAGAAGGAGAGGGCAGACAGAGATGCAGAGAGCAGAGCTGGGGCGATGCTTCTACGAGCCCAGGGACAGTCGGGATCGCCCAGAGCCACCAGACGCCGGACGAGAGGTGGGGGCAGAGTCTCCCTCAGAGCCGCTGAGAGGGACCCACCTGCCGGCACCTCAAGTTTGGACTTCTGCCTCCTGGACTGGGAGGGAATAAATGCCCGTTGTTTTAAGCCGTCCCAGCTGCGGCGCTCTGAGACCAATGCAGTGCTTTACTCGTCCCGGCTCCCCTTGGAGGCAGCCCCTGGCCGTCTGAGCACATCTTTCGCCCCAACGGTGGAAGAGTGAGTCTGAGTCGATGTGCTCCTCGGGTCCCTGATGGCCACAGGGGCCAGCCTGTGACAGACGACTTCCCGAGAAGGAATAGAACGTGACACCTTACAGACTTCGGAGAGTTTTTCACCAGGAGGATGCTAGGCCTTTCCCAGGGTCACGGCGCGTTAGGGGCCAGCCCCAGTGCTCAGAGCGTGCACGCCCGAGGTCTGCCCATGCTGGTCTACGTGTCCCATCTCCAGTGACTCAGGACCAGGCTGCCTGTTTCTCTCCCCCTCCCCCAGGCCCCAGAGTCAGGCTGATTCGGGGAGTCTCAGATGAGGGTAGGAAGAGGCCACAGGGCCCAGCCGCTGGCTTTCAGACAGCCAATCACCATGCCCACGTAGTGGGGAAGCTTATAGGCCACCTGGAGAAATGGCTGGAGACCGAGCTCCGAGGCTCCTCTGGTCGCCACGCCCCAGGCCGAGCCACCCTGCGGGGCGCACTCAGTGGGCCAGCAACATGTGCCTGTTCCCTCTCTCCAGTCCTGGCCGGGACAGAGGACAGCCATGTCACCCCTCCCGTGCTGGCTCCCCACCAGCAGCCCAGTGGTTAAACCAGAGCTGATGCTGTGGGTGGCTGACCCCGGGCTGGCTGCCTCTCCCCATCATCGCCTGTGACCCCCAACTCTGCGAAGGCCAGGAAACTGAGGCTCCACGAGGGGGATATAGACAATGACCCAAGTTCACCCAGCTCACCCGTGAGGGAGCTGGGATCGAAACCCTGGCAAAGTGGCCCTGTGGCCCAGACCTGCCCACCGCGACTTCCAGACCAGACCATGAGATTCTGGCTTTGGAATCTTTAACAAAAGGTGAAAGGTGCCTTCGGCATCTTCGGATCCCCTGTGCTCAGGGTTTTGCAGCTCATGGAAAACGTCCTCTCTTGGGGACCAATGTGACCTGTGTTGAGTAGGATGCTCTGATGTCAACTCCACTTCAAACTCCTGGTTTCTAAGGACAGTAGCTTCAGTCCATGACCCCATTTTTTGCTGTCCACACAGGCCAGTCCAGCCTCTGGGCTGAAAAATGACAGGAGAGGTTTTTCCACAGGAGCACTCTCTGCCAGATTACACAAAGAAAGTCCACAAAACTGGGAAAAGCTACATCAACACCCACATACTCACCCCTCCTGTGAACATCTTTCCTTCCTGTGAACATCACCCTTCCTGTGAACGCACTTATCTGATCTTCGCAACAGCTCTCAATGGAGGCAGGGCCCTTCCCAGGTGAAAAAACTGGGGGTGGGAGCGTCCCCAGGACTGCCTGGCCCCCCATCTCTCTCCCGGGGCCTCTCACCGATGGGCTGGCTCCCCTCTCTGTACCACACTCTCCAGAAGGCCTCACTTTGGGCTAAAACTGTTTTTCCTTCCTGCACCAAACCGAGGGCTTTGGGGGGCACACCTGCCCTGCCCCCATACCCTGTTAGCTCACGACTTTCGTAAGAGGAGGGTCTGGTGAGCCCCCCTGCCTCGTCAAGAAAGCCTTCACCTCCCAAAGTGAGGCCAACGTGGGGACAGAGTTTCATGTGGATTTTTAGAAGGCCCTCCTGGTCTGCAAAACCCCGACCCAGCGGAGCTCTTTCTGCCCAGGGACCTGCATCAGGGCCCTTCTCTTAGTCTAAATGGTCATCGTCGCAGGCCAGGGCCACGCCCGCAGCTGCCCGATGCCCAGGACACACTCAAATTGGCAACAGCTGCCCTGTGGGTATGCAGGTGCCGGGGCTTTGCTGACCCTACATTTAGGATTTCGTTTTTGTCCCCCTCACATCCTGGCGCCTTACTCTTGCCCCTGCCATCCTGGCCCCCTTGCGTGTGCTCCTCTATGGTGGCATGGGCACACCTGGCTGCAGATGTTTGTGGCTCACCTGCCTGGTCACCAGAGCGTGAACAGCTCCGGGCTGGGCTCCGAGCCTTCTTCCCTGTCCCCTGGGCACCCGCACTCACCTGGCACCACGCAGGGCTCCGCCCAGGTCTGCAGAAGAGAGGGATGGATGCTCAGCCTGTGCTCACAGAGGGGCCGGGGCCATAGCGGGGCTTGTGTGATGGGTGGGTGTCAAGCGGTGGAGAGGAGCGGGGAGGTGAGTGTGGGTGTCTTAGGAGCCCAGGAGTCACCCCCTCCACCAGAGCAGGAGGCCCAGGGTGGAGGGCGGCTCAGAGCATCACAGCACAGCCGTGTCTATGGAGTCCAAGGGCTGGGCCTTTGTCCCGTGAAGTGACAAAGTCCTAGTGCTTCTGGAATGTTAATCTAGCACAAGGATAGACTGAAGGAAGGAAATCAGGAAGCAAGGAGATCGGGTGGCCGAGTTCTGTGGCAGACCGATCTGTGGCCACAGGTCTAGAACCTCGGAGAGAAAGGAGGGCATGAACCGAGGTGGAGGGGCGCTGGCGGGCCTGAACTGGAACATCATCTTCAGTCCTGGAGAGAAACGGTTGGCTTTGCTTTTCTTTCCTCCACCCAGAGGTGGAAGAGGCAGCGGCAAAGCCGTCACGTGCTGTACGGACTAGTGACAGACTTGAAGAGCCTCGGTGTGTGGATGCTATTGGTAGGACGTGCTGAAGGAGGGATACTGGAGTCTATCACCTCGAAGAACTTGCTGGATGTGACTAGAAAGGAGACCAGATGAAGTGACTACAGGCCGTAACAATTAGCAAAATGAAAAGTGACCCTGTATATCATGATGGGAATGGTGACCATGCGTCCCCAAGTTCTTCAAACTCCAGCTCACCTTGCTCTGAATGTGCATGGAGCAGGGTCTGGGGCCAGCCGTCCCTGGGAGATGGGGCTGCCATGGGGCTGCCTGGGGCTGCCTTGTTCGGCTCGCAGAACAAGCCCAGGGAAGGCGGGTCCGCCCTGCCCAGCTGGCCAGGCCCGCCCACGTTCCTGCCAGGCAGCCCTGGGTGCCCTGCCAGCCCAACGGCCGTCTCTGTGCTACAGTGTGCTCCTCACACGCTTTCCCCCAAGTCCCAGTGCCCGGGAGACTTCAGTCACTCTCAGCCACCCCTGCCTTCTCCATGCCGCAGGGACCCATTGTCCCCTATACACTTGAGATTCCTTCACCCTGCCCACTGTCCCCAGAATGAAGGCTCCCAGGCCCCCAGGGCCCACAGGCAGAGGAAGATCCTGTTCTCCCCCTGACCAAGGTCTGCTTCCCATTTCCCACCCCGGTGAGCAGCAGGGGGGCCTCCACGTGTTAATCATCTCCGTCACCTTCCATCCCACCCATGGGCGGGGCCCCCACGGCCCTGGCAAGGCTGCCACAGAGTCACTTCCTCATGGCCAGCTCACTCAGCCCCCCTAGGGGGTGTGTGGGGCCCTGACAGACAGTCCTGGCCACGTGGTCCTGCCTCACTCAGTCTGCCTCTCCTCTTGGACTGCCCTCCCCGAGAAGCAAAGCCCAGACCTCCGGGGCGTCTCCGTGGTGGACACGTGCTCGGGCAGGAAGACACCGCCTGGGAGTAGCACTTCCCAGAAGTCATCCAGTCCGAATGCTCACCAAAGGAGGAAAGCCAGCCACTTGCTGCAAAGGGCAGGGAGGCTGCCCGGCAAGACCCCCAGTCTACAGTCCTGATTAGGAAGTCTTGGGATCTGGAGACTTTCTCTGGTTAAGCTCCACCCTGAAGCACTAGCAGCACTCACCTAACATCTGCACCACTATGAAGCCCCAGGTCGCTCCCAACCTGCGGGGGCCTTCCGCAGAGGTGAATTCTGGTTTCCTCTCTAAACCACACATCTGCTACTGATCCCTGGAGTGTTTTATTTCTTCCCCTGCTTCCACAATTTTAAGGTGTCCATCAGCAGGAAGAAACTGCTAGAAAGTTGGAAAGTATAGTTTGTCACCCACGGAGGGGTCAGACAAGGGAAACACCTTGAAAAGGCCAGCTTCTGAGGACAAAGGGGACACTTTCTGCTCTGGCCATGTTCATTGAGTTTGTAGAGACATCGAGAGGCAGGACCAGGGTGTGGGGGGTGCTGAGGGGATGAGATTTGGGGCATCACCTTGCCAGAGCCTTGGTGTGGATGCGCTGTTTTGCATCTAGGGAGGGAACTTGAAACGTCTTACTCTTTGGAAGCAACGATGGGAAGAAGATGCAAGGATGTTTAAGGATCTCGAGGCCTGACTCTCAAAGAAAGCCAGAAAATGTCTTACTGTCTGGAGAGGGGCTCTTGAGGAGTTCACGCTGATGTATGCAGATGCAGCTGGAGCTCGGGCCTCGGAACTGCCAGGGAGGATTAGGAAAAAGCGAGTCTGATTTCACTCAACTCTGCCCAGTGCGTGCGTCAGACTTTCCCCAGCTCCCTGCTCATTTCACAGGGTCCGCACTGATGGATTCTTGGCAGCGTATCCTTCATGCCCGAAACTCCAATGGGGGCGCTGGAGTCAGCTCCCAAGAAAGCTGCTGAGGACCCCGCTGTAATCGGGCAAAGTCATCACTCACTGTCTGCCGATGCCCGAGGCTCAGGGGGACTCTGAGATGCCCAAACGGGTGTGGTTTTCGTTTTGACTTTTGCCCTTTTTAAGAGTTTTCAACTTATTTTCCAGTTACAGTGGGCACATACTATCACAGGTGTACAGCATTGTGATCAGATATTTTTATGTCTTACCAAGTGACGCCCTCCATCAGTGTGGTGGTCTTCTGGCACCATGCCCGGTCACTGCACTCTCCGTGACTATGTGCCCTGTGCCAAATGCGTTCTAAGGGCATGTTGGCCAAGGTGCCCTCCTTGGGGGGGGGGGGCCGTACCGCAGGCCTCCCCACCTGTTCGCAAGGTAAGGAGGGCCCATCTCTTACCAGCTCCGAAGAACAAAGCGGCTTTCCTCCCAACACCACAGCCTCCTTCCCCCTCTGGCAAGCCCTCCGATGACATCATCGGAGCAGAGGTTACATAAGTGAAGGCCACCCCGTTTCCGAGCGCTTCCCAGAAGAGAACGCTCCCCCAGAGGCAGCTCTCGCCTGTCAGCGAGCCCACTGGCTGGCCGGGCTAGTGCTTTCATTTTCTTCCTGAGTAAGTAAATGACCACCTTCCTTTTCTCCCACGAGACGAAAACATAAGAGGGGGCCCGTGTTTCTAAGAAAGAGAGAAAATAATCTTTCTTTTACAACTAAATATTGTCATAATTTGTGTGTGTTTTTAAATGTATTTCTAAGCGTAAAAACCCGCAGCTTTCTGTAAGTGTGTGTGTTGTGTGTTTTTAACATAATTCTAAGTCAGCCAAAGAGCTGCATGTTCTGTGCCCACTTTGGGTTTTGGTTGTTTTCCCAGCAGGCTGGGGGCCGGGCCGGGGGGCGGCGAGGGTTGGGAACGGCTTGTGGAGGTTGCGGCCGGGTCAGACGCAGCACGCAGAGCCCGAGCGCAGCCCCTCAGGACCGGTAGTCACCCCTGACAAATTCTGATGAACAAAAATCAGGTTTGTTTCCCCGGGATCGCTTACAAGGTTTCGTAAGGCTGACGGTTGGTCATTGGTGGGGTTATTATTTGAGGCTTGAAAATGGCGCGTTATTATGTTCCTGGGTGGACATTCTTTACCATCTGAGTCCGTACCCCAAAGGCCTCTAACCGTTCCCTCACGGTGGGCCTGGGGAATCAACCAGAAGAAAGCCCAGTTGTCTTCCAAGGGCCACATGCCAATGTTTAAAATGTGCAGAACTTGTAAAGTATCTCATGGAAATTCCAGAAGTGTCGTCTCTAGTAGACTTGCCCAATGCCACCTCTGAGATTTTCAAATAGGATCAAATAGTACTAATAACAGTAATAGCTGCTGTTTGCTGAATACCTACTATGTGCCAGGCAAACGTCAGAGCTAGAACTGAGAGAACCAGCGAAGGAAGATTCCCTCTCTCTGGCTAACTTTGCATAAACACAGGCAGATGCTGTGCTTACAAATGAGCCCAGTTGGAGCAGACACGCTGTGACCTCAGGGGCCAGGGACTCGGTGGGGTCCCGTGGGGCAGTGTCTGCTGAACCCACGGCACGGGGGCTGAAGCCAGACGTCTGCTGGCGGGAGCAGGCAGCAGTCCCTGATGCCCGGGGCAGGGGCGAGCTTTGCCCCCTGTGTGAGTTTTCTGCGGCCACTGTAACAAACGAGCATGAACTTAGTAGCTGAAAACAACCCAAAGTCATTATCGTACAGCTGGGCCGGTCAGAAGTTCAAAATCAGTCACTTTGGGCTACAATCAAGGTGTCAGCAGGGCTGCGCTCCTTCTGAGGATCAGGGAGGAACCGCTCCTTGCTCTTCCCAGCTTCTCCAGGCTGCTCCTGGTCCCTGGCTCCCGGCCCCTTCCCCCGTCTTCAGAGCCAGCTGTGCAGTATCCTCTGGTCTCTCTCCCACTCTGGCCCTCCCGCTGTCCTCTTTCAGGCATAAATGAAGTTCACTTTGGATTACGTTAAGCTCATCTCCTTAATAAGCTCATCTCCCCATCTCAAGATCCTTAGCTTCGTAGCACCTGCGAAGACCCTTTTGCCAAGTAAGGCAACAACGTATTTACAAGTCCCAGGGACTAGGATGTAGACATCTCTGGGGCCCTTATCCGGCCAACCCGTCAGCCCTGTGCCCCAAGGCCAGCCCTTTGGTCTGGTGGTGCCTGGGCAGCTCCTGCCTCTCACTGACCCTGGGGTCTCTTAGGAGGACACAGAGCCAGGCCCCTTCCACTGTCCACCAAGAGCCGTCCTCGCCTGCTCAGGTAAGCACACTTCAGAGGGGATGTGGGTCCCCTCCATGCGTGTTCAGGGATACCTGGGGAAGGGAGAGAAGTGAAGTAGATCACAGCCGTGGGCTTGCTCAGCCTCCATCATGAGTCCTCAGCCCTTTCTGGTGGCTCCTTCTTAAACTCCTGGTGGTTACAGCTCCAAGGCTGAGACAAAGGGGAATCGCAAGCACCAGGCCCTCCAGAGCCCAGCCTTCCAGAGGCCAGTGCCTTAGTGCCCTCGTGCGCTGGGCCCCAGGGCAGGGGAGGGGGCTTGGGGTACTTTCCACCCTCATGGTGGTCCACGTGGAGGAGACCTCACTCCTGCTCAGAGGGACCGGGACACTTGGTCATCGCTGTTATTACTACTGTAGCCAGTGCCACTGTTGATGAGGTGGCAGCTATTATCATGAAGCCTGGATTTGGTGGTTCACAGCCTGTGGGGGGCTGTATGCACATGAGCTCATTCAAGCCTTACTGCCACGCTTTGCAATAGCTGCCGCCATTCCCACCTCGCCACTGAGGACACTGAGCCTCAGAGAAGTCCCTGGACCTGCCCAGAATCACACAGTTTGGTGACCCCAGGACCAAAGCCCCGGTCCCCTGCCTCCAGGCTCGTTCTCTCTGTAGTCGCAGCAGGTCGTGTAAGAGAGACAGGGACCCTGAACTGGGCCAAGACACACAGCCGATGTCACGCAAACTTGGCCAAGTTATTGCTTTGTCTTTGTCTCAGTTTGCTTCTCTGTATAATGGGCATAAAGGTCTCGCCCTTCCTCCCAGGCACGTTGTCAGGCTCAGTTACCAAAAGCCCAGCACAGTCCTGGGCCCTCGGCATGTCACAGGTGTGGCCCGGGGTCAGATCTGGGCACCAGGGCCTGGCCCTCAGCCTCGGCGTGGTGGAAGGTTGGGACAGAGACACAGAGGTCCCCGGGCTTCCCTTGGCCCCGAGGGCAGCACAGGAAGGGGCGGCATGGAGCCCAGTGGCAGCCTCGGGAAGCAGCTTGTACAACCGCGTGCAGAACAACGGGGCTGCGGGCGGCCCGCTTCATGTCTGAGAAGGCGGGTGTGCGAGGCATGTGTGTTTCCTGTGGCTGCCCTGTCCGTCCCCACAGACTGAGGGCCTTAAAGCAACAAGTTGGGACTTCCGGCCAAGATGGAGGCATGGACACACTGCGCCTCCTTCCACAACCAAAAGAAGGACACCAACCATTTAAAAACAAAAAACAACCAGAACTGACAGAAAATCAAACTGTATGGAAGTCCAACAACCAAGGAGTTAAAGAAGACACAACTATTCAGACCAGTAGGAGGGGCAGAGATGGGCAGCAGGGCAGAGAGGACTTGTGGCCAAAGCAGCAGCAGGCAGACCCATCGAGGTGGTGGAATGTGGACCAGGCGGCCCATGTTCACATGCAGATAAACCCGGAGAAGCTGGGGAGAAGGACGGAGTACACAGCCCAGGACCCCAGCAGGGAAATAAAGCCTCAAAACCCCAGTGGGGGTGGAGGCAGCAGGAGAGACTCCCAGCCTCACAGAAGAGTTCGCTGGAGAGACACATAGGGTCCTAGAATGTACACAAGCCCACCCACCCAGGTACCAGCACCAGAAGGGCCCAGTTTGCTTGGGGGAAAGGGCAGAATGGACTGAGGTCCAACAAAGAGTGGGGCAAGCACCACTGTTCCCTCTCGGACCCCTGTCCCACATGCAGCATCACAACCCAGCCACCGGGTTGTCCCGCCCTGGTGAACACCTGAGGCTCCGCCACTCACCATATAACAGATATGTCAAGACAAAAAAAAGTGGCCCAAAGAAAAGAACAGATCAGAGCTCCAGAAAAATACAAATAAGTGACAAAGAGGTAGCCAACCTACAAATGCACAGTTCAAAGCACTGGTGATCAGGATGCTCACAGAAGTGGTTGAATTTGGTCACAAATTAGATGAAAAAATGAATGCTATGCTAAGTGAAATAAAGGAAAATGTACAGGAAACCAATAGTGATGGGAAGGAAACTGGGACTCAGATCAACCATTCTGAGCAGAAGGAAGAAAGAATATCCAGCCAGAAAAGAATGAAGAAACAAGAATTCAAAAAAATGAATGAGAGGTTTAGGAACCTCCAGGACATCTTTAAGCGTTCCAACATCCAAATTATAGGGGTACCAGAAGGGGAAGAGGAAGAGCAACAAGTGAAAAAGATATCTGAACAAATAATAAAGGAGAAGTTCCCCAATCTGGCAAAGGAAATAGACTTCCAGGAAATCCAGGAAGCTCAGAGAGTCCCAAAGAAGTTGGACCCAAGAAGGAACACACCAAGGCACATCAGCATTACATTAGCCAAGATTAAAATGAAGGAGAGAATCCTAGAAGCAGCAAGAGATAAGGGGACAGTCACTTACAAAGGAGTTCCCATCAGACTGTCAGCTGATTTCTCAAAAGAGACCTTACAGTCAAGAAGGGGCTGGAAAGAGGTATTCCAAGTCATGAAATCCAAAGACCTACAACCAAGATTGCTCTATCCAGCAAAGCTTTCATTTAGAATGGAAGGGCGGATAAAGTGTTTCTCAGATAAGGTCAAGTTCAAGGAGTTCATCATCACCAAGCCCTTACTATATGAGATGTTAAAGGGACTTACCTAAGAAAAGAAGATAAAAATATGAACAGTAAAATGACAGCTAACTCACAATTATTAACAACCACACCTAAAACAAAAGCAAACTAAGAGGACAGCTAGATCAGGAGCTGAACCATAGAAATGGAGATCACATGGAGGGTTAGCAAGAGGGGAGTGGGAGGAGGAGAAGGGGGGAGAAGGTACAGAAAATAAGTAGCATAGATGGTAGGTAGAAAATAGACAGGGGAGGGTAAGAATAGTAGGGGAAATAGAGAATCTAAAGAGCTTGAGACACGTGGTCGTAAACTAAAGGGGGGAATGTGGGTGAGAGGGAGTGCGCAGGGCAGAGGGGAGTGAAGGGGTGAAAATGGGACAACTCTAATAGCATAATCAATAAAATATATTTAAAAAACAGTAAGTTGGTTATATTATATTTAATAGAGTCACAAAGTAGTTTTAATCAAAATCTTTTTTCAAAAAATTGTTTTAAAAATATATATACATCAAATATATATATACATATACACACACACACATATTAAAGCAGAATAAAGCCTTTTCTTTCAGTTAATTAACTGGACATTGGAAATGCCACCAGCGAAGTGCTTGTGCCTGGCACATGTCCGTGAACCATAATTAGCTTCTTACACTTGTACCCGTCTCTGACACAGCCCGGGCACTTTCCCGAAGAGTGTCTCCATCTTTCACTGAGGTTTTATTATTTTGAATTGTTCCGTATAGTTGCTGAAATCCTTTTCTTCCAATTTTACAGTTATAAATTTAAATGAATGCCTTTGATTGATTCTTTTCTTGGACCAGCGTATATTTAATTAAGAAATGTTCCCTCCACACGGGCTGAGGTACCTGAAAAGCTCTGAGCAAGTTCTGACAAAAAGTTCTCAAGTCCGGTGCTTTGCATACAGGGTTCTGCAAATGTGGCAGCCAGATATTGTCACTGGCACCGCCTTAGTTCAGAGTTTCTGTCTGCACAAACATATTTCCCAGATTAAACTCTGTAAGTAAGCTGTAGTTATTCATAATCTTTTAATGCTTTGTCCAACTTAGCTGCTACAGATCATTGACTTTCTCGATTTTATCCTTTTTTCTGTATACAATATGAATTTATCCACCTGAAAAAATTCTTCCTACAACTTGAGCTATTCCAAAGCTCATCATAGAATTTTATTACAGGATTTTAAAATTAAATCTTGTGTGCTATTTGAGCTTTCATCACTTAATTTGCTCATTTTGTCCCTTGCTCTTTTAGCAAAAAAAAAAAAAAGCTTCATTATTTTCCACATAAAAGCTTTGATTTCAATTACTGTAATCTGCTAAAAGCTTTAAAAGTTGATGTTCTGGTAGTACATTTATTGAATAACTTGATTAAAGATTTCTAATTGATTTGGATCAAAACTCACCTATTTAGAGGTCTGCTTTAACAAGCAATTTAATGACAGTTTAGGGAACTTACACTAGCGTTCCCTAAAACTGACTGGTGACGGGCAGCCGAGAAAAAAAAACAGACGTTGAAGCTGTGCTTTTTCAAACTCGCCATTGACTACATCACAAAAGGTTTGAGGTTCAGTAACTACGTTTTAATGACGTTTTATAAACTTGGTCAACTGCAACCTCCATTTCAGTCGGTAGAAATCAAAACTTATTTATGTGCAATTACAAATTGGGTAAACCTGTTCCAAGTCTGTCTGTGTTTGTTCCATCCGTCTCTTAGTTTAAACTTTTTTAAAAGATTTTATTTATTTATTTTTAGAGAAGGGAAAGAAGAGAGAAAGACAAGGAGGGAAATGTCAGTGTGTGGTTGCCTCTGGTCCACCCCCTACCAGGGACCTGGCCCACAACCCAGGCATGTGCCCTGACTGGGAATCACACGAGCAACCCTTCAGTTTGCAGGCCGTTGCTCAATCCACTGAGCTGCACCAGCCCGGGCCCATCTGTCTCTTATTTTAGTAAGAACAGTGTTGTTACTGTAACACTGTGGCCACTAAAACATCTGTGTTTCATCATCACAAAATACAGCAACTTCATTTCCAGTGTGAGCAATTTTAACCAACTTTAGAATGCCATTTGCCAGAATGAACTTCGGAAATTTTGCTCTGATTCCACGCCCTGGATGAAAGAATTAGATCAGGGTCGGAACTGACGAATTTTCATAATTTGAAGAATATGAGGACACGGGTGCGAAAGTGGCACAGTTCAGGGTGTGCGTGGGCCTCACACGTGCGCATGTGTGAGCGTTTGGTCAGCGTTTCCGCGGTCACAAGTGCACAAGCTGAGTTGCGACCAAAAGGAGCTGAAGTAACCGAACCCGCAGTCAAGTGGTCGAGGTGAACAGTCACACTTCACACAGTGATGTACAGCAGCTTCTGCTGCGGCTCTGCAGGCCCAGTCGCCGTCTCAGGGCGACTCTTTCAAAACTACTAGCGTCTGCAAGAGCAGCTGGTGTCTGGGTTTCTGGTGGTCGGTGAGGTTGCCATGGCCCCCCCTAGCGGCACAGACATCAACGAACATTCTGTGCAAGTTCCATGTGCACCCTCGACGTTGAGAAACACAAGCTCATCGCTTAGGCACATTTTCGTTAAACCACCCGTCGGCAGTTTCATCCAGTCCTGGGGCTTCACAGACCAGCCGTGAGATTCCAGCTCCCAACTGTGCGCCGTTATCTCGACCTGGCCTCTGAAAACCTCCCTGTCTGGTTTACCAGGCGCCCACTGGACATCCCCACCCTATGTCCAGCAGGCCGCTCGGCCTTGATGTGTCCAAGTGAACTCCTGATCTCTCCCCATTCAAAAAAAGAAGAAAAAAACACCCTGCATCCTCACTCCATCATCTCCATTTCCGTTGATGAACTTGATATCTCCAGGGGCTCAGGCCAAAAGTCTTCTCCCTCACGACCAATATCGGACATAAAATTACGGTGGTACGCACTACCTTCAGACTAGATCTAGAATCCGATCCCATCTCACGCCTCTCCTGCTCACATATTTGCTCAGGAGGCATGTCTTTCCTGCCTCTCTCCAGGTCTGCATCCCTGTCTGGGGGGTGGGCACCTTCAGCCTGTCCTGCTGCCTGCCTCTCCAGCACCCGGCCAAGTGCCGGCGCAAAGCAGATGTTCATTAAGCGTTTGTTAGACTGTTAGTAATAATACCACGGTTATTAATAAGACTGATCGCTACTTTCCACTTAGTGCTTCCTCTATGCCAGTCAACCATGCCAAGTAGGATCCCATTAGCTTCGATTTTCAAAAAGAAAAATGAAAGTCAGTGGGTCTAAGTGGCCCACACCAAGTGGGGGGGGACAGTGCCAGGATTTGGACTCGTTTCAAAGCCCTGGTCCTGTCCTTCAAGGAGAAGTTGGTAAATTTTCCTCTAACGGAGCAGACGGTAAACATCCTCAGTTTTGCAGGCCTCACAGTCCCTGTCGCGACCACTCAGCCCCCACTGTTGTGACACACAAGTAGCTGAGGACAGTATGTCGATGAATGTGTGTGGCTGTGGCCATGAGACTTCATTTTCCAAAACCTGGGCTGACCAGATAGAGCCCGAGGGCGGTGCGTGGTGTCCCCCACATCAGTTAGCTCCATGCTGTTCGTTGCAGGTCACCGTGGATGGCACCCCAGACCCTCCTGGAGTCCCCGCCCTCCAACCAGAGCCGGCTGGCGCCTCCCAATGCCACATCCTGCAGCGAAGCTTGGGAAGCCTGGGACCTGCTGCAGGGCACGTTGCCGATGCTCGTCGTCGCCATCTGCCTCTGCGGCCTGCTGGGAAACCTCTTAGTGCTGTCGGTCTTCCTCCTGCCCCGGCGGCGTCTGAACGCAGCTGAAATCTACCTGGCCAACCTGGCGGCGGCGGACCTGGTCTTTGTCTTGGGCTTGCCCTTCTGGGCCCAGAACATCTGGAACCAATTCAACTGGCCCTTCGGGGCCGTGCTCTGCCGCGTCGTCAATGGCGTGATCAAGGCCAATCTGTTCATCAGCATCTTCCTGGTGGTGGCCATCAGCCAGGACCGCTACCGCGTGCTGGTGCACCCCATGGCCAGCCGGAGGCGGCGGCGGCGGCGGCTGGCCCGGGTCACCTGCGGGCTCATCTGGGTCTTGGGGGGTCTCCTGAGTGTCCCCACGTTCCTGCTCCGCTCCGTTGAAGTCGTCCCGGAACTGAACGTCTCGGCCTGCGTGCTGCTGCTCCCCCACCAGGCCTGGCACTTCGTGAGGATGGTGGAGCTGAACGTGCTGGGCTTCCTCCTGCCGCTGGCCGCCATCGTCTTCTTCAACTACCACATCCTGGCCTCCCTGCGAGGGCGGGCAGAGGTCAGGAGAACGAGTGGCGGGGGTCCCACGGAAGGCAAGACCACGGCCCTCATCCTCACGCTCGTGGCCGCCTTCCTGGTCTGCTGGGCCCCCTACCACTTCTTCGCCTTCCTGGAGTTTCTGTTCCAGATGCGGGCCGTCCAGGGCTGCTTTTGGGACCATCTCACCGACCTGGGCCTGCAGTGGTCCAACTTCCTCGCTTTCATCAACAGCTGCCTGAACCCGGTGATCTACGTCTTTGTGGGTCAGCTTTTCAGGACCAAGGTGTGGGAACTTTATAAACAATGCAGCACAAGGCGTCTTTCAGCCACGTCCTCGTCCCGCAGGAGAGAAATCTTCCAGTGTTTCTGGCGGAATTAAAACAGCCACGGCGAGCCAAGAGGCTTGGCTTCCTGATCCACTATTTCTGACGTCATAAATACTACTGTAGTGGGTGGACTCTGGCCCCCGAGATTGCCAGGACCCGCAGGCCCTGGAAGCTGTGAATGTTTTAATGGTAGCAGCGACTTTGCAGATGCAACTAAACTAAGGCTGTCAGATGGGGAGATGGTCCTGGATTATTGGGGTGGCCTGATGTCATCGCAAAGGCCCTTATAAAAGGGAAGCAGATCTGTCCGTCAGAGAAGGCGATGTCACAAGGGAGGCGAGGGGTTGGGGTAATGCAGAAAGGGGCCACGAGCCAGGGACCCCCTCTGGAGGCAGGAAAGGACAAGGGAACGGCTGCTCCCTGGGGCCCCCAGGAGGAACCGGCCCTGCTGACACCCCAACGCCAGCCCAGTGGGACTGATTCTGGGTGTCTGGCCTCCAGAAACACAAGAAAATAAATCTGTGCTGTTTGAAAGTCACCAAGTTTGTGCTAATTTGTTCCAGCAGCAGCAGGAAACTGACGCAAGTTTCCAGTAAGGATTTCTAGTTGCCCATCCACAATTTTCTAGGCTAACCGCTAGGAACACGGAGATGACGGAGACAGACAGCCCATCTGTGGGAGCTTACGTGGAGGGAAATAATGACGATGTAAAGAAGAGAACGAGCGATCGCTTGAGCACACCGCACAGCCGTGCCTTGAGCGTTCAGGGGGAGAGGGGGTGGGTTTCTTCCGGGGCCGTCAGTGCGGATGTTGTGAAGGGAGGGAGCCATGGCCTGAGTTTTACCAAGGACGGCTCTGGATACATGGAGAGAGGGAGGCAGACCTGGTGGAGGCATGACCGCGACACACAGGTAGAAAAGCGTGGGCTACACGCGTGGGAAGAACGTTTACTGAGCTCAGTGCATCCGCATTCTTGCTACCAGGGACCCAGTGGTGAACCTCAAAGTCTGCCTTCAAGGGGCTCGTGGCAACGAGGACAGTGATTGGGAGAGTGTCACATCAGGGTGAGAGGGGCTTTGAGGACACACAGAAGGGGTGCCGGGGCTGAGGGCCTGGGAGTGGCCCAGAAGAGGAGATGTGCACCCTGAAAAGGGGTGTTCCCAGTAGAAGAAATGAACTAGCCCCGGAGGCAGGGGGTTCGTGGTTTCAGAGGAAGAAGGATGTGGGCAGGTGATGTACGAGGGGTTTGAGGTTTGAGGGGAATGGAGATGTTAGGAGGGGGGCTCCGGGGGCTCTGGGAGCCCGGCTGAGGCTAGAAGGCACGAGCTTGCTGCGTGAATTGCTCGATCCACAGTGATGGCCCTTGGGCTGCACTACTAAAGTGAGGGGCACAGCATCTAAAGTGAGGGAGGCGACGTCCCACTTAGCTTAGCATTGCTCAGGGGACACGAGGAGCATCACGTCCAACCATTGGCCGACTCGGAAGGGCTTTCCCAGACCGGTGGCTGTCATTCGAGGGCATTGTAGGTACTGGTGAGACCATGAGGAACAGCTGACTGAGGGGAGGCAATGACCGTGAGGAGGTGAGGGAAGCAGGATGATGCTGATAGGGTCCAAAAACAGGTGCAGCGGAAGCATCCAGGTGATGACAGGAGAAAAACAGGAGGTTGTGGCCAATGAGTAAGAACATCTGTTTGGGACACTCCAAGGTGGAGCCCTCCCAGGAGATGACAGGGACCCAGCGTGGCCATGGCATCGGTGGTTGAGACAGAGGGAAGGAGAAGGCCGCTGGAGATGAGACAGTGAAGGGATGGAAAGGTGAGGAATGGGGTATCTACTGGGGGCCTGAGGGCAGGCTGGGCGCCAGGAGGCCCCGGGCAGCAGAGAGCTGGCAGGGTGCAGGGTCAGTGTCCAGGGAATGGTGGGGGTGAGGCAGGAGGGGGCAGCCTGGACTGCTGCGTGGGAAGGGCCGGTCCTCGTGGGACAGCGGGGAAGACACCAGTCACTGGAGAGACAGAAGGGCGGCCGGCGTTCCCGGAGCCTGCCCATGGGGTCTGAGAGACTGACAGGGGCCGGGCCACCAGGCCCTCGGTGACAGCCCTCTGGGCAGTGCTCCAGCCCCACTGATTTCCTGGAGAGCAGAGAGTGGTTCAGGTGGCCTGGATTTAGGTCAACACGCAGGATCCAGCCTGCGCACATGTTTAACTTGGACCTTCTGGTATTTGAAAGAATGTCTTTGAGTTGGTTAGTGAGCGGTGTTTAAATTCCACACCGGAGTCCAGATTTTGGGCTTCCCTTGAATATCTGGAAGCTCTGGCAACACTGAGTCTGCATTCATTCATTCATTCCTTCGTTCAGCAGATATTTACTTTGTTGTAGGTGCTGGGAACACAGCGCCTTGGTCCTCTTGGAGTTGACCCCCTGGGGCTCCCCCAGGGCACTGGTCATTTGGTGCTGAGTGGTTGCGCCCGTGCCAACAGGACAGGCACCCCCTTCCGTGGCCACAGCCCCGCCCCCCCAGGGGCAGTGGCCGGAGTCAGCCGGCTTGCTTGCCTCCCCCGCCAGTGCCCTCTCCCAGCCCCTGGGGAAGAAATCCAGGGGGTGGTGACACTGGCAAAGCGGCAAGAGCAGGCGGGAAGATGGGGCAGGAAGAGAATGAGGAAGGGACGGCAGTATCCAGCCTCTGCTCTGCGGGAACTGACCCAAATACGCCCTCTGTCCTCTTCCTCAGCCCCTGTGTGCAACGCCCCGCCTTATAAAAATCCCCTCGAGGCATTGCAGAAAGTTCCAATTCTAGAAGTGTGCGCTGACAGAGAAATCAGAACACAGCTCAGAGGCCTGTTGTTCAACAGCAGGCCGTCGGCTGGATCTGGGATGAGCCAGACCTCTGATTTGTAAGGCGCAGCACCGTTTACGGAAGCACAGCGCCCAGCCCCGTGGGAAGAGAAGTTGGCTCACCCCACAGTGAGGGCTCCGTGGCCCTGCTCCTGGGAAGGTCAGTTATCCCTGTGCAGAGGGAGAAGTCCCTGCTCTGGTTAAAAGGATCGGTGCTAGGGGACAAAGTGCTACTTTAAGTTCCCGTGGATCCGGCGGATGTGCTCACCTGGAGGACTTCCCACCTGGGTCCAGACCCGGGCCCCACCTCGTAGACCTGGCACCTGGATCAGAGGGAGGTGGGCGAAGTCTTCCCCACCCAGGCTCCTACACCCACGTGGGCTCCCCTTTTCCCTCTGAGATGGGAAACTTCTCTGACCCACTCCCAGCTTCGAGCCTGTTGTGGGAACTCACAGCTGCCCACCTCCTCCCCCCATACCCCTCCCCCACCTACCCCAGGCACAAGTAGCACTGAGACCCCGAGTCCCCACATGGGGAGACTCCCGGGTGTGCAATGGACAAGGGCAGCTTCTTGTTCACCAGGGGTGAGTCACGGCCGCAATGAGGAACAGGGGGGAGTCTCCTTGTCTGAGCTAGAAGGGGCTTGAAAGGCCACAAGAGGCATGTGTGTTGGCCTGGTGCAACCTGAATGGAACCTGAAAAACTGCATCGCCGCCGATTTCTGGGTTGTGCTGCTGTTCACTACTTATGCCAGACGCTACCACTCGGGGGACCTGAGGGAAGAGCACCAGGGGTCTCTGCAAATCCAATAAGAAAGTTTTAAAAAGAAAATACCACCCAGTTGAACCCCTGCATTCTACGGAGAAGGAAACTGAGGCCCAGGGATCGGCGGAGACTTGATGGGCAGAGATGGTCAGCCAGTGAGCTGGACCCCTGGGCAAAGCCAGGGCTCTGTCCAAACCCAGGGATGCTCACTAGGCTGAGAGGCCAGAGAAGGGGCCTGAGTGCCAGGAATGCCACCATTTGTGTCACTTTGAAGGTGGCAGGCACTCCTTGTGGCTGGGGGTGGATTCAAGGCAGTGAGAGGAAGCCACACCTGCTTTCCAAGAACTTCAGGGGACAGAGAAGTATCCCACGGGTTGGTCAGGGCTCAGCAAGTGTGATGGGGAAGACACTTCAGGGTGTTGACAGGGAGCTCGTGTGCTCTGGATGCCCAAACACCTGCTAGCTCTCAGGCTACATCAATAGGAGCATAGCATCTAAAATGGGGGAGGTGATATCCCACTTAGCTCAGCACGGCACAGGGTGCCATGAAGAATAGTGTGTCCAGCTCTCGGCTGACTGAGAAGAGAGGTGAAGAAACCAGTATCACACCCTCCGGGACACACTCAGGGCCGGAGAGGGCTTATCTGATGAAGACTTGTGGGGAGATGGGAACAAATGTACTTAGTGTGACCCCGGTAGGACCAGAGAGAAAAAAGTCCCAGGAAACACATCTGGCTTAACTTGAGGAAGAGCTTTCTGATAGGCAGATCTGTCCCACGAGAGAACGCCATACCATATGACAGTTGTCCCAGGATAAAACTTGGAAAACAGGGGGGTCCCGGTCCCTGGGGATGTCCCAGCACAGTGCAGGGTGTCTTGGCAGGATGTTGCAGCAGGGGTTCCAGACGCATCTTCAGCACACCCTCCCTCGAGCCTGCTGCAAGCAAGGAGGCAGACAGGAAGAGGTGACGTCTCGGTGTGAGAGATGCCGTCATGGGTGACAGAGTCCACCGGGAGGGGATCGCAGTGGAAGGGGATAGCAGAGGATGTGGCCCCAAGCTGGGTCTTCAAGTCAAACAGGGCGAAGAGGGTGCTGACCACCTGCAGCCGTTGCCTGACCGAAGTTCCCAGCCAGCGAAATCGAGGGCTGGAAGGATTCTGCCGAGACTATGATGTCGACCTTCCCTGTGGGCCAGGCACACTCAGAACAGGGGAGTGCCACGCTCAGACCTGCATGTGAGAGATCACTCCACTAGAACGTGGATGGTGGCTCAAACAATGTGTCAGGCACCGACGTGCACACACGCCACCCTGAAACCTAATGGTTTAGCACTACCTTGGCTCACAGTTCTGTGTTGGCCACTGGGCTGGGTGTGTGCAGCTGGGCGGTTCTTCCACGGGCCAGGCCTGGGTTCTCTCATGACTCTGTGCTCAGCAGCCAGTCAGCCAGTGGCCCTGCTTTGAGGGGGGCGGGGGTGTGGGGGTGAGAAGGAAGGTACAGCAGGTTTACAGCCGACCTCAGGTGGAGTTAGGAACCACCGATGGGCTAGGGGTGATGATGGCAGACTGGGGAGCAGCCCATCCCTGACCTCCCCAAACTGAGAATCAGAGTAGCTGATTTACCCACTGTTTGTGTGTCCGACATGCACCTGGTATTATCATGCCAGGCTTGGGGTGCTGGGTAAAATGAGATGCCTTCTTTCCTTCAGAGAGTTCCCAGCATGCTTTGCCCCATCACAGGGAGACACCGTTAGTGTGAGGTCTGGACTGGGCTAAGCTCTTCTCCTTGGTCTAGTCTTCCAGGCCTGTACCCTGGCTCCCGGACGGGGCTCCCTGAGAACACATTGCCTTT